TTGTCAATTAAGAAATTTGGGTTGCAGATCCACATCTTTTTATTAATTATTTTTATCATCTCGTCCTTTCACACTGAACTCACAATTTCCCACGAGAACACGTGTTCGTGGAAAGCCTTGCCGGATTATGTTTTTTATATGCCCCTATGCAAGAATGATATTATTGAAACTGGTGTTTTCTAATGTCATTGTGTCCTATATAAATAGGACTTTCAGTATTTCTTCTTCCAGTAATTCGGGGCAGTATTACGACTATTTTTCGCAGGGAGGTTCGTTCTATTTTTTCATTACATCTCTACCTTCCTCCCTTAGCTAATTTTTATTGCGACGAATGTTTCCGTACTCTGTGGGGGCTTTTTCCAATCGTAATATTTGTCGCTTTTTATCTTTCCCCTGAAATCGCTTCTTCTCTACCGCTGAAGCTCGTTTCATATTTGGGCTTTGAACTCACAATTTCCCACGAGAACACGTGTTCGTGGAAAGCCTTGCCGGATTATGTTTTTTATATGCCCCTATGCAAGTCAGATTATATATAGGAATGATATTAATGAAACTGGTGTTTTCTAATGTCATTGTGTCCTTTCAGTATTCTTCTTCCAGTAAATTCGGGGCAGTATTACGACTATTTTTCGCAGGGAGGTAGGTTCGTTCTATTTTTTCATTACATCTCTACCTTCCTCCCTCAGCTAATTTTTATTGCGACGAATGTTTCCGTACTCTGTGGGGGCTTTATCCAATCGTAATTTTTGTCGCTTTTTATCTTTCCCCAGAAAACGCTTCTTCTCTACCGCTGAAGCTCGTTTCATATTTGGGCTTGGCGTTTTCCTACTTTTTTGGTCTTGGGCATGCTGAGTTTCCTATACTATCCGCTGAGCTCGCCTTAACTGTGATTATTTTTTTTTCGTATTTTGCCTGCCTTCTCTATCGCTGAAGCTCTCACCCGATCCTTCTCCCCCTCAACTGCTCGTCTCGATGACTCACTCACTCTCTCTCTCATCCTTCCACTCTCTTCTTGTCTCCCCATTTTTACTTCACCCATGCTCTTCTCGTCCTTCCACTCTCTTCTTCATTTTTACATCGCTCGCTATCTTGGGCCTCGATGACTCTCTCTTGTCCTTCCACTTCTTGTCTCCATTTTTACTCCAGCCATGCAGGGCTGGCTTGGCTCCTTCTCCACTCTCTTCTTCATTTTTACTCCACACAACCCCCTCACTACTACCATGCTGCTTGCTGCTGGCTCTTGCCTGACCCTCGATGTCAACAACCTCTGTCAACCTCGATGATCTCGCGCCCCTCCCTGATCGCTAGGCCATCCCGCTGATCGATTTTCGTTTCCTTTTCATATCTGCTCTCTTTGGCTGCTGGCCCCCGACCCATTTCCTCCTCAACTGCTCGTCTTGATAACTTTCGCTCGTCCCTTTTTATCCCACACCCTCTCACTCCCAATGCTGGTTTTTATTTATTTCCTTTTCTCCCTGAACTGGCTTTTCGCTTGGCCTCCTTGATTGCTGCTCTCTCGCCCGACCCTTCTTTATTTATTTCCTTTTGTCCCTGAACTGGCTTTTCGCTTGGCGCTGCTCTCTCGCCCGACCCTTCCCCCTCCTGAACTTGCTCTCTGATATCTCTCGCCTTGTCTCCATTTTTAACTCCACCCTGATCGCTTGGCCATCCCCGCTAACTACCATGCTGGCTCCTATTTATTTCCTTTCCATCTCAGGTCTCCTTGGTCGCTGCTGTCGCCTGACCCTGCCCTCCTCAACTGCTCTCTGCATATCTCTAGCCTCGATGACTTCACTCTCTTCTGTCTTCGTTTTTACTTCACCCTTGTCGCTTGGTCATCCCGCTGATCGATCTTGGCTGACTTCCATGCTGGCTCCTATTTATTTCCTTTTCATCTCTGCTCTACCTGGCTGCTGCTCTCGCCTGACTTTCATCTCTGCTCTACCTGGCTGCTGCTCTCGCCTGACCCTTTCCTCCCTCGACCGTCTGCCTTGCCTGATGGTCCACCCATACAACTCACTCCACCATGTGGGGTTCGAACCACGGTCCTAATGTTTGATCATGTCCCAACGCTTCCCCTGTGCTACCGCTACTGTTGAAGATGGGTGGATTAAAATCTTACTTAATTAACGACGTCACACTTGACAGCCTGTGACAGGGATGGCGAACCTTTTTCAATGAATGGGTCAAAAATTATATTTTTACCGCGGAACAGAAGAGAGTGGGTCACAGATATTTAATCTATGTTTGAATCTATAAGAAACTTCTGAAACAAATCTTATAAGCTGGTGTTGGTGTAGTTTTGGGCTTTACTTATGCAGCACTTCTATCAGGGTCTTATTATGGCACTCGATTTTATGAAATTAGAGTACGAAAACACGCGTATGACTTACCAAAAACGTTTGGGGATGAGGCGGAAAATTATTGTACGGTTCCAAAGAGTTTGGAGGGAATTCTACTCCGATAGTGTTATATTGTTCGATCTGCTTTCAACCACATTAAGGCACTTTTACACTGCCCCATTGTCATTTCAGATTTCTAAGTTTTTATTTCAAGTCTGAAAGATTTTGTTTCCTCAACGGCATTGTAGGCGAGAATTTATTGTAATAGCATCTAGTTTTCGTATATCCCCTGAAACAGTCTGCAGATGCACTTCCGAAAGAAACAAGACGTTGCGAGAAATGAACAGATCAATTACATTGTTATGCCATAACCGATGTCAGATCCAATAGCTAAATAACAGTACACGGCGGTGCAGTCATGCCTCAAATATTAGGGTTTTGAAAATTACCATACCGGCCCAAAAATTAAACATTTGAATATGAGCGATCGCAGCCCTGACGGTACATTATAATAGTTAAGTTATTGTTAGATTAATTTAAGGCCGGTATTATAAATTTTTATCATTGATATGTTAGCATTATTTTTCTTCTTATCGTGCCTTGGCGGGTCACGAATAAAACGCAGTGGGTCACTTTGTGACCCGCGGGTCAGTGGTTCGCCATCCCTGGCCTATGACAAGGCTAATCACCTACAGAACTGATGGCGCACAACCTGTACCCTAGCCTGGTACACATACTATGTTAAGGTTGTGCGCCATCTTGGTGCACATATTTAGGGAGCTCCCAAATTACATTGATTCGAAGCATGTGTATTCATACCTCAATTAAAAGCGTTCATCTGGGACTATCGTGTGCGCTGCTTCAACTGCTTAATGCGTGAATATCCCGTTTTGAAACTGTTGTTCATTTTAGTTTAGTTTTCAAGGAAAATGCGAATATAATTCAAATTAGTGAATGTGCAAACCAAACTTCTGACTGTCATTGGAGGAATACTAATTTAATCTTTCTGTCTCTTGTGCTAACTAGCCGTCGTATCTCTGGTTTACTTTTCTGAATCTATAAAACATCTCAGATCAAAATTGGCGATGCGTTATGCCCTTTTATAGATTGAAACGATAAATAATGAAAAACATGGGAAACATGCTACCCCAGGCACTAAAGATGAAATGTAGTGAATTGCGCGTGCTATGCACCTTTCTATTCATTCTGATACTACGTCGAGGTCACGCGTCATATTTCATCTCTTCAGGTCCAAAATTTATGTGATGCCCCATTTTATTTTGCTCCCTAAGCACGTGCTTATTTTGCCTAATGGACAAGACAGCACATCTCAATATATATATATATGAAATTTATCTGTGAAATTTAGCATCATTTATGGCTTTTATTTATCGTATATATTATAAAAGGTTTAGCTTTTGAATTGGGTAAAGTAATTTCAACTTACCCATGAACATTATTAGGCAAGTAACAATGTGTTGTTTTGTTTGTTTTATTTTCAAAATTTATTGTGGGCTCCGTGAATAATAATCAACTTCTTCAACGGCTCCGTAACACCAAATGTTTGAGAAACCCTGCTCTATAGCAGTGATTCTCGAACTATATTTTGAGAGCCGCATGTGGCTCTCATCAACCCTTCCTGTGGCTCTAGTTAATGCTTTAAAATTAATTACTATCAAAGGAAATTTTCCACTGAAAACTAATCATTGACTTGAAATTAAAAGGCTTACGTTAATTAGTTAGTCGAATGGATTCCCCCGTGTTTATTTGCGTAGCGTTGACTAATCTACAAGATGCAATAGTGACGCAACAGTAAGTGTTTTCGCAGCCACTCGGACAGTTCTCACTTGGCAGGAATTTAGAGATGGCTGTAATCACTGGCTCGCTTTCGTGGATTTTTGTCGCATTTACGAATATTATGTATAAATAAAAAAACTCAATGATTATTCTAATTTCTGGAGAGTTTTAATTTTGTTTCAGTAATCGAAAATAGTTCCGGAATATCTGCCGATCATCTCAACCAGCTACTGCACCTTGCATCCTCCACGATTACGACCCGCTTTGACATAATTATTAGAAACCAAGGCCAAATTAAATGACTGTTAGTCTAGGGGTGGGCAAAATCAAATATTTTTTCGAATCGAATAATTTGAATATTTTTAACGAATACCAAATGGTCGAATAATGAATATTTTTTTTATACACAACAGGGATCCAAAACGTCGGAGGTCCATTCCTGCTTTGGAAATGGATAGAAACATTGAAATGTCGACAATAAAGCGTTATTTTCCTGGTTAATGGTTAATTTCATCATAATCGCTGATTGTCTTTGTCACCGCGATCGTTTCGGCGGCGATATCCTAAAGTTGGTAATCTATATTCCCACCTTTTTTTTTGTTATTTTGCAAGAATAAGGGGTCGCCGGATATCGAAGTTTTATATTTCTAGTATACCCGGGCATTCACATCAGCGACAGCTGTTAAAGCAACCCCGTGTAACTTCGGAAATTTGGTCCCGGTGTTGGATTCGCCGTCACGCTCGACTTGGTTCTGACAGATTATTATTGCTTCGAAAATCATCGTGCGACGTTCTGCGTTTTTCTGTGTTCTGACGGCGCTGTCTCTCGTCAAGATTAAGTGAGTGACTTATAAATATTCAAGTTAGTCGTGCACATGGAATATTACACGATATACTTGACTATAGAACTGATAGAATGCAGATTACAAAACAAAATAGAAGAACAATCAATTGAGTGGGAAGACCCTGGGACCGGTCCAGCACTCGAAAGCACATTGACAGTAAGATTTTAAATTCGCTTTAAAACTCCCATGAGTAGATGTAGTAGAGAGCCGCTTTGTGCTACGATTGTTCAGCATAGTAAATGTTCTTATACGTAGGCCTACCCAATACAGTAATTGATTGTCAAGGAATATAAATTTTGATAAGAGATATGTAGTCTATATTTTCAGGAAGGAAAGGATCATAAAAAAGTCTGAAATTTGCACTGTGAGGATTCATGCTGTGTGATCGAAGCAGTAAGCAAGAATATAAATTGACTGATGGATGGTGCTTTATCTCAAAAATCAGAATTAGCTTACACCATATCAATGGAAATTTTTGGTGGAGCAACTAAAACTGTCAGCAAAAAAAGAAATGTGGTGAGCGATACCACCCTGAAATTGTGACGTCTGTATGAAAAACATAAATTAAACACAAATATTGTAACTTCAATTAATTAGTGTTTTATGATGGAGTTCTACTGATCTTGATAATTTTTTCCCAGACTCATTCTGTCATAGTATACGAAGTCACCAGCTGCATATTACATAATAAGAGGTGTTTTACGTATGCCATGATAATCCATTTTGCTTGATTTCAGACTGGTACTAATAACTTTTTTAACATAAATTGGATACCTATTATCTAAACATGGATTCAACATATATATATATATATATATAATCTTAGATGTGCCAAAAAATTTTGAATTATTTTGTCGAGTGTTTTTAAATTAGTTTTGCAAACTGCAGAATACCTTTTTTGACATATGCAACAGCACTACTGACGGGGCTCCCCTCAAAAACGGAAATCTACTACTACTCTCTGAAACATCCGGAGACAAAAGAATGCAGTAGATCAGTCAAAATTTCATAAATTATTTTACACACTGGAAATCTACAACAGGTGATTAGCTCAAGGATTTTGTAACAAAATAAATGCTATACAGCTACATGCAACACATTTTGTACTCATATTTAAAAAACAACAACATTTCATTGCTTCTCCAGCGTATGAAGGGCTTCAGATACTGGTACCTTCAACATGTGGTATACCATATTAGACCAAAATCTGTCAGACCCCCCTTTAAGTTTAAAATAAAAGTCTTCTATGTTGTTTTTTTTACTATATTATTAATGTAAATTTTTCGTGGCTTGAAACACTTTTTAGAGTTAGACCATCGGGACTATTATAAACTAACATTTGCCGGCTTCCGATCAGACCTTCTAGGACTCAGTGTTTCCCAACCCGAGTCCGCGGTCTCAAATGAGTCCGCGGAGCGTTTGAATGAGTCCGCAACGAGCCAGAAATTCACTGCGGGCCGCAAACGTTTTTGCGAAACTTACCTATCAACCAAGTTACGATTTACGTTGGAATTTACATAAAACAAAGAAAGTTTATTCACGTAACATTAATCGAGTCAATAATTACTGGTTACTGAGTAGGGCTGGGCATATATTCCAATATTCAACTATTAGAATAGCAATTTACTATTCGAAAATTTGGTGACAGGTGACGCGACAGGTCACTTGTGCGTCGCTTAAACAAACGATTGTAACACCATAAGTTTTTTTTTGATGATCCGCGACCGATTAAAAACACTTTTTTGACATTGCAAATCGCAAAATTTCGGGTGCTGTCGTAGTATACGCACCAGCAACGACATGTTTAATGTCATTGGTACCAGGGCGTTTTTCCTTAGGATTCTTTGTTTCATGGCCCCCACATCAGTACGTAAAGTACTGGAGCGCAGTAACTGCTGTACGGACATCTCAGATTTGTCGAATTCACAAAAATACGAATCAAAACAAAATAATCGGGCACTTTACCACACATTTTTGTGTCCACTGATTGCCATGATATTTTCCGAGTAGTATTGCATTTAACAAATTTGCAAGATTGCAAAAAATATGTATAAAAACTAAATATAATCGCGCAATTTATTCTCAAATTGATATATTCGTAGATTGCTGTGGCATTTTAAAGAAGTAATGCTTTCATCTTGTAAGTCGACGCAACGGCAAGTTACCATGAACACAATTAAATTAAAATAGAGAGACATTTTAAATTCTCGTTGTTGTCATGGATTAAATATTGTGCGACAGAAAAGGCCATTCATTATACACTAAAAAAGTCGGTTCTTTTTACGAACGCGTAATTGCGGCCAACTTCCGATTTTGATTCAATAAAATTCGGTAGTGTTTGGTTTTATTGCTTCTTCACACAGAGTGCGGTTGCAATAAAGGCACATTGAGTCCGCAAAGGTTTTCGCCGATGAGAAAATAGTCCGCGACCAAAAAAGGTTGGGAAACGCTGTTCTAGGTGTTTTGGTCTAACTTGTCAATTGAAAATTTCAGAACCCCCACCTCTTTAAAATCTTCAGCTATGCCCGTAGGGCCTCGCCCTAAATATTGAATTAATCGCCAAAAGATTTTCAGTTTAAAAGATGCATATTTTGCAGGTCGCGGGGCTGGGAATCCATCGGTGCTCCAGTTGATTGAAAAGCAGCAAAGAAAAAGAAATATCCCGCTTTTCAGCGTTTTGTCCCGCCGTCCCGATAAGTCAGCCAAAAGTCCCGCTTTTCCAGCATAATACACAAACATGTTCTCGTTACTGTTGTTTCTGTGTAGCGCAGCGCTAGCCTACTTACTGAAGGTGAATGTGTTCGTTTCCCGCTGATTCCCATTGATGGCAGACGTATCGCATGTAAAACCAATATTAATTAGTCTAAATTCGAATTATTTGTACCAGTATCGTTAACGTCAATTCCTTCCTATTTTTCGAACTGAACCCGATATTTGGACAGAGAATATGCGCGTGAAATTTCGATAACAATATGGTCAATAAAGACAGCCGAGACAGCTTTAAATGTAGGAATGTAGGCCTATGTAGTAAAATCGGAATATGTGAAGTTATAAAATCACAGCTAAGGGGTCGTTGTCTTTCGAGGCGTCCCAATTTGAAGTCACAAAAATATGGTAACCCTAATTAAAGGTCAAGTGGAGAAAAAACTTCTGTAAAAGCTACAATACTTGAGATGGAATGAGACCAAAAGGATGTGCTACTAAGCGTTTTTTTTATTTTTATATAAAGTGCAAAGTACTCATTTTCGTTACCACTTTACCCACATCTGACTGACATTTTTTGCAATGCATCGCATTTTTGATGCCTTGCTTTCATTTCGACAAGGATGTTGTCACATTATCCTGGTCATTTGCAGGACAGACTGTGTCTTCATTTTCACAATTATTTGTTCATTTTTATCAAATTTTCCACGCCCTACAGCAAATATTTCGGTCAGTCATCAAGGAACAGGGCGAGTTTGCGACCTGTGAAGCAGGAGTGTCGTCGTCGTTAAGCACCTTGTCAGAACCAAACCGACCGTGACGCCCGCCACTTGGAGGTGCAACATCGCCTTTGTTTGTTTATTATACGGCGAGCGGAGTTGGACATCTAGTAGTAGTATATATTTACGGTTAAAGACATTAGGGACTGATTTCAAAACCAAATTAGTTTTATACTGAGTTTTATCCTCTGCCTAGTCTTTGATCTTACTTATCACCGCTTGTAAATTAACAGTGCCCATTTAAAGTGAACGGTAACCGAGATGCAGATATTTATTAAAACTATATTCGAGTTTCTCGCGCTTTTCAATGGTGTTCATGTTATTTTAGTATTGGACAGATAAACCTCGCAAATCTGCGATTGCGTGAATCCTGAATGTTGATTTAGGATAGCGATTAAATAAATAAGCAATAAAGGCATTGCCAGGCCTTTGGGCCCAATAGAGGGTCAGATGCTAATTATAACTAATTCCTTCAAGTTTTAACGTTTTTTTTTTCAACAAAACAACACCCCGACGATTATATATTATAGCTAAAATACGTACTGAGTAATGCTTAATTTTATTTACGGAATTTGCAAATTCAGCACTACACTTAATGATTTTAATTATATCATGCCTTAATTATTACTGCCCAAATGCTACAAAATTTAATAATTGTAATCATTTGCAATGATAATAAGCGCAACAATTATTAAACGAGTCAGTGTGCATTGTTACGACAAAGTTCACGATTGACTTTACGTTGTACTCTTGGCTCAACAGCCATGCATGGTCGAGTAAAATGTTTACATATTCGAAACATTACTTGGCCAAGGATGGAAGGGGTCACTAAAGAGCTAATAGAAAGTGCTTTAAAGGAAGTAGGACGTGACATTTCTTATCCGGTTACAACTTAAGGAGTGTTTTTTATGAAAGTAACTCATACCAGCTTTTGGAAAAACTTTGACTGGTCATTTTTAAATCCATGCTATTCATATATAATAACTCGTACCTAATATGGCCTTTTTCACAATAAAACGCCGAAAAGTCATTTTAACATTTGATTTTGATCAATTTTATGTTCGGGCCATGCAAGAAATGGCTAATGACATGGAATTAAAAATCTGGGAAATTTATTTTATATACCTAATCTGGTTTGACGTTTCTAAATTTACGGAACGGTCGGTACGTTTTTTGCAAAATACAAAGTTGAAACGATACGTTGAGTGCAAAGAAAAGCATATAACACCATAACGCAAAGCCAACGACTTCAATTTTGTCGCTTTTTCTGGTAGCTAGCGCCGTGGGGAAATCTCGCACAATTCACGATTGGGTTTGGAGACGCGCGAGTTCGGTGTCCAAGCAAAGCGGCGAAGGTCAAGTGGTACCGGATAATCGAATAGTAAAATGCCATTCGAATAGTTTATTATTCGATTTGTTATTCGAATATTTTAATACTGGCGAGCCATGTAAGTGTGACGTAAAAATATTTACGGTACAGTGTTACGAAAGCAAGAGTGGAAAACAATAAGCATCACTACCTCATCGGTCTCACTACTTACTTAATGCGAAACAGCGCAAAACAGAGGGAAACAGCGCGAAGCAGAAAAAAAAATTGCAATGAGTTGGGGCACCTTTTTTTGAGTTGGGGTACCACGGCAGCAAATTAAAAACACAAACCAAGGCATGTAGGCTGTAATGGCAGTTCTGCTCCTGCTGGTGACACATTTTGTACCATAATTTAGAACATTTTCCATATGGATACAGTTTTGATTGATTTGGCTTTAGGCTCAGGGTTAGATAAAATAAAAAAGGTAGCTAAAATTTCGCATGATGACCTAGAATCCGGTACATAACCTTGTAAATATACCGGAAATAGCGCCATAAAACCATGGCGAGGGGCGCCGTGACCTTTTGTGGAAGGAGGTGGTAATAACTGCGTCTCCTGTTTCGCGCTGTATTCAGTAACTAGTAAGACCCCTGCCTCATCCCAAAACTTAATTTATTCACAATTTTAACAAATGCTTTGAGCTTTTTCAGCTGAAACATTAAAATTTGGTTCTAGTTTGGTTATGGAGGCGGGTCATACTGAATTAATCCCATGAATCGAATCCCATGCGCTGATCGGTTACGGCTTTCTCCACCACCAAGTCCATGCTTCCGAAAACAAACAATATAACTAATCCCATACCCGACTTGGAATGGTAACCGGACGAGAGGACGTGGTTCGCCATATGGATAAGCCGTCTTATCGGCTTTCCTCTCCCCCGGGATAAATATTTAAATCCTATCCTATCTCAGCTATAGGATGTATATGTCAGTATGTGGGTGTATGTAATGATTTACCTTATATTATTATTTTATCTATTAAAAAAAATCTGGTCAATGGTTATTATACTGTGTCACATTTAACACATTTGTGAGCGTTTAAAAAAATGGCAATGTTTTCGACGAATGGTAGGTCGGTCGAACTTTCTAGACTGCAACTATCTTTTCATTTATCCTATATCTGATATCTTAATACTGTCATACCTATACATGCATTGGTGTTTTGCAGGATATGGATCAGCAGATTGCTGTGTGGTCTTGTTTCTGTGAGTGTTAGTATAGTGATGATAATTTCTTTTCTGAAAAGATGGACAAGAGTCGTATTTGCTTTGACCGGAATAATATGGGGAGGACAGTTATATAGACAATATGGAAATAATTTGATTTCAACCATTACCAACCTCAAACCTCTAAATGATTTTGCTTCGCTTGAAACTTATCAAAATGAACTTGGTGGAAAAAACTTCACAAGAAAGGACCAGCCAAAATACACCATAAATCTCAATATACCTGAATGTGACAAATATCCCTTTCACCTCAATGGAGAAGTGACTTTTAGTGAAACATCTAATTTATCATCTTGGACTGAGATCGCAGCAAACAATTCCAAGATTCTTGAGGGAGGCAGATTTTTTCCTTCATATTGCAAACCCAAATACAGAGTTGCAATCATAGTTCCTTTTCGAAATCGTGAATCTCAATTAAAAGTATTATTATCTCATATGCATCCTATATGGCAACGACAAGAAATTGATTACACTGTTTATACCCTTACGCAAGCAGGAGATGGATTATTCAATAGAGCAAAATTAATGAATACTGGAGTAGCTGAAGCTAAAAAAGGTGAGAAGTTGATTTTTAGATTGTGTTCGCAGATATCTTTTTTAGGGCGTTCACATTTATGATCATAGAAGCCATATTTTCAAACTTGTCAGAGCTGAAGTACAGAAGTAGAAATTTTAAGGCAAAAGCACTAGGTTTACTAAGCATTCTCAATAGACAATTTAATAAGCCTTAAACATGTCCTTCTATTTATCTTATTCATTTAAAGTAACTTTACTCACCGACTTGAGATACTTATTATAAAATATTTTTTGTAGATGGAGATTTTGATTGTTATGTGTTTCATGATGTTGATATATTAGCGGAAAATGACAAGTGCTTGTATTCGTGCCATGAAGAGAATCCTCGACATGTTGCTGCATACTTGGATGCATTTGATTACCAAATCCTCACTTATGGACTAGCGTGCACACCATTGGCATGTGAGTGTGATATGCTTTGGGGTTATTCTCATTCGAACATATTATTTTGCGACACATGGCCATTATTGGTAAGCTCTGGCCCTTGTATCAATCAATTTCTTGATATATGTCCCTTCGCTATTATGTTCAGAAATTAGTTATCTCCGAGGAAATTTTCTATGTTTGATAAGGAATTGTGATTTGCTTTTTCTTTTATGTGGATGCTGAATATGTGCTGCAGTCCAAGTTGTTGAGAAAACTGCTAGTTGGTCACAGAGTTCGCTTTAACCGTTCATGCATCTAGAATGATAATTTGATTACAAGCCATGGTTCGTAATGAAGTTAATTACATGTCTTTTTCAATACAATGGTTGTAGAGTGTCTCATCAAATCGAGCACGACAACTCGCTGTTGATGAAGTTTATGACAGAGAAATAGATACTGGTATTAGCGTGTGCCCTTGCTGTGAAAGTAAAACATTGATTAGTTTTTAACAAGTTGCATTAAATGCTTTTTAGTACTTTAAAAGTAGCAGACTAACAAGTTTTAGTGGAATTGTTCAACTATCACTATAGACCAGTGGTTCTCAAACTTTTTAGGCTGCTCCCATTTTAGAATTCTTGCAACCCATCTCAAAATTAACTAGCTAACAAAGAGCTACAAATAACAGATAGTGAGGCGATAGTATGTTTCATTCAAAAAACAAGTTGAAAATACGTGGATGGAACGTAAATAATGAAATAAATGGAAAGTTTTGAAAACAAATAAGGCAGGCAGGATCAAATCTAACAATTATTTTTAATTAGCTTCACACCCTCAAAAATGTCAACGCCCCCCTTGTGGGGCAAGCCCCACCGTTTGAGAACCACTCGTGTAGACAAGATTAGAGAGAGCCTAAATTATTGTTTTAAATTGATGCCAATTAGATTGACTAATTTATATTTAAGGTTTGCAACTTAGTGGATATAACTACTGAGTGAGTGTATGTGCCCTTGCTTTTGGCAAATTCACTTGAAAAGCATAAGCCAGGTAAAAAATCCCTGCAGCTGGCCCTGCCATTTTCCATTCAATCAGAGTTTCTTGAAATTTGCTAATTAACCATGACATAATTGCTTCTATTAGTATCATATTGTGCCATTGATTGTTTATATTCTACAAGAGTTTATTTCATATGATGTAGTTCAACCATTGCATTATTATCCCCTATTAAGTCCCTGTGATAAATGTTCTGTCCTATCATTATAAAAAAATCTGTCTGAATTTGTCAATATTTTGATTGTTTCTACTTCATTTTAGTACATTTCTCAAGTGTTACAAATGCATGTTTTTATCTAAAATTATTTGGCAAATTCTCACATTGTTATTTCAGTTCACTCTTCCCCAAGTCAATGTTTTGGAGGAGTAACAATGTTATCAAAAAGCCAATTTGAAAAAGTTAACGGATTTTCTAATATCTACTGGGGATGGGGAGGGGAAGATGATGATATGTATTTACGGATAAGAAACAAAGGTACCATGATGAATGTTAATTTAGTCCTTTCCAGCTACTTCTAATCAGGCAAATACATTTTGTAAAAGAGAATTACTAGATTGTTCACATTTAAGTGCTTGTATAAGTCATGTCTAACAGGAAAATGTGAAATATTTATTGCTCTTCTTATCATGAGGTTCTATTAATGAATAATGATAGTATCTTCTTTTTTTATACGGCATACCACATTTTTATTTGCTTTTCGCTTTGAACAAGGCTCTTCAATAACAGCCACTGATAAGTAAGTAGCTGCTCCTTCAGAAGGGTCGTAATCTCCTCGCGTTTTAACTTTACCTACCCCATTTATTACACCATGGATAGGGTGTGCAAGAGATTTTAACCTGCGATGTCATCGTAGTTTAATCTAACGATTAGACCAGAGGTGTGCAGCCTGTGGGCCAAATGCCACCTTCAAGGAAAAATTGTGCAGCCAGCAGAAAAGTGCCAATTTTGAATAGTATGCGACTGTGCGGCCAGCAAAACGAGTTTTCAATTTGGTATGTGCGAGCAACTCCAATCCCTTTGCGCTGCAAGGCATATACATGGGTCCAAATTATTATCTATGCCTAACGTTACAATGCCCTAACAGCTAGCTTGGTGCGGCCCGCAGTTTAACCCAGTTATTTGTATCTGGCTTGCCTTTATTAAAGGTTGCACGCACCTGGACTAGTCTAACGGTCTATCGCACCCACAAAATTTCACTATTGTATTCATTTTAACATTCAGGATATTCTTCAGCCAATCCTTATGGTGATGAGTGTTCATTTCGAATGATCAAGCATGATCACGAGTCATCGAATGCATTTAATCCATCAAGACATTCACTGTTATTTCATGCACCTTCTCGTATGGACCTAGAAGGCTATAGTTCATTAAGGTAATGAATATCTTTAGATGTTGCAAGGAATTATTTTATTGTCTGTGTCAAGTTTTTAGATCAGATTTGTTTTTGCATTTTTTTATATTTTTTTCATGTCAAAGAGTTCTATAATGCAACTAGTAAGACATGGCATTATTGATTACATGTCATTAAATGAATCATAGATCTTGTTCTGGGTACTTCCGTAGTATGTGTACCAGGTTAAGGTTAGGCTATAATTTTATTCCGATTTTTCTTATTTTAGTTCTATTACGGGTTCAGGGACTGTTTGTGTTAACCAAGTGAATATACATACCCCCTGCTCACAGGCTTTCGTCCCTTTGCACAACTTGATGTAAAGTAGGCGAACAAAATTAGTTACCTCCATAATCCATATATTGATACACACACTTCTGGAGCGCCTTTGCTCTGTATATTTCCTACATGTAACATGTATGATGGGCTCGAATGTCACGACTCACGAGTCTTTCTAACCAAGTTTGTATTCTATTTAAAAATGTTATCGTTTTTCATATTTTAAAGGTACAATCTTCTCTCTATTAAAAGGGAGGCTTTATACACAAATATAACTGTAAGTTTGGGACAACCTTCTTTAAAGATGATGAAATTTATGGAAAAGGAATTCGATAATGGTATAATGTGTCAACATAGGATGCCATGGAATTTGTAGCTTCTCGAAGATTTCAATGCTGCCATTCGCCATTTTGCGGGTTCAACAAACTCATCAATGCAGTAACATTTTTGGCAATCATACAAATAAACAAAAACGGCAATAGTTAATTTTAACATAAGCAATAGTATTATTTACCTTAGCTGAGTATGGGATCAGGCAATAGTTTTATATACATACATATGGTCTTTTTGTTGTTGCAAGTAGTTTACACACTTTAACTTGTTATGCAAATTTTCAATATTTGCTTGGGATTCTCCTACTCATCCAAGAGAAGGGGAATAAAACGAATTACCCATTTGGTGAACTATTGTTGTTCATTGGATTAGTGGTCCAGATTTGGTATGTCATTACATATATGTATGGAAGTTGAAAAATGCAGATGACCGAAAAACTTTTGTTGCAATCGTGATTCATAGGGGTGGGCAAAATCGAATATTTTTTTCGAATTGAATAATTCGAATATTTTTAACGAATACCGAATAGTCGAATAACCAATATTTTTTATACACAACAGGAGGTCCAGAATGTCGGTCGATAATCCCCTTGGAAATTAATAAAGACATTGAAAAATCGTCTACAAAGCGTTTTTTAACTGATTAATTTCGTCATAGTCGCTGATTGTTTATGTCACCGTGGCCGTTTTTGCGGCGATATATAATCTATATTTCCGCCCTTCCTGTTTTTTGCAAGTATTAATTCTTTCCGGTCGGCGGACATCGAAGTTTATATTTCGGGTTTACCCGTGTGTTCACGTCGGCAACAGCTGTTGAAAACATCAAGGATTGATTTCAGAACCCAAATTAATAATATTCTAATTTTTATCATTTGCGTTGACTTTCATATTATTAATCCATTACAATATTAAGCGAACGATAATATCATTATCTATTAACTTTGCTATGCTTTTCTATGGTGTCTATGTTACTTTACAGATAAACCTCGCAAAGCTGCGATTGCGTCAATCCCGAGTGTTGATTTAAAATAGTGACTAAATAATTCGGCAATAAAGGCAATTCTGCGTGGCCATTTGACGAGATGACGTTAATAAACAGCGCTTCTTGAATAATAATTTACATATGCGACCTAATGCTGAAAAAATTGCGCTTTTGTACATTTATGCCTAATAGATGGCCAGGCGCTAATTATAACTAACTCTTTTAAGTTCCGACGTTTTCTTTCAACAAACCCCACGATCATTATAGCTAATATCGTTACCGAGTAATTCACAATTTTATTTAAGGAATTTCCAAATTCACTTTTACATCTCTCGACGATTTTGATAATGTCACGACCTATTTATTAGTATTAAAGTTATTTCAACTTTTAATTTTCGTTAAACAAATTTATGTTTGGTTCATACATGAAACGGCTAATCAAGTGCCGCCAATCATACGGAGTTTAAAATCTGGGATATTTATTTTAAATACCTCATCTGATTTGACGTTTCTAAATTTAGGAAACGGTGTCGGTACCTTTTTTAGCAAAATAGGGAATTTAAATGAACGATTGAAACGCAAAGAAAACAAATAACACCACGACGCAAAGACGATTTTTCAAATTTGTCGCTTTTGTCTGTTAGCGAGCGTTGTAGGTGAATTCTCGCGCAATTCACGATCTGTTCAGAGACGTCCTGTGTTCTAGTGAAGCGGCGCAGATCACGTGGTACACGATATTCGAATAGTAAAATGCCATTCGAATAATTTAATATTCGATTCGCTATTCGTTATTCGAATATTTTGCCCAGCCCTAAATTCGTGAATTGTATATTATACTAGAACCTTTGTAAGAATATATCTAATGCAATTGTTTTCATTTAATTTTTTTTAGTTTTGAGATGTAATTGAAAAATATCATATTAAAAAAAGCTTGCTTGCTATAGAATATAGAACTTCATTTGCATTGATACTTTGCCTATAACTGCAATTTTATATTTTTATATCACACCGGTGAAATTTATCTGTAAGAAAAAAAAATTGTATGTTAATTTTACAATATAAAAGTAAATATCTGCATGATTTGGAGATGTGTCATTGTGTATTTTATTCCGAAACGTTCCTTATTGTTTGGATTGTTTTACATGCGTTTTTTTACTCACCAAACTGTATTTTATTAGTCCAAATATATAATCGTTTAGTTTTCCTGTTTCAAGTTTCTCTTGTTTGAATTTTACTATCATCGGAATCATTGATTTTTAACTCTTTTTCTCCTAATTCTATCTGTTAAAATTTTTATCAATTCCTAGTAGAAGGTCGTATTGATCCTTAGCCAGTTGTCTATATTTATATTGTTCTTCTGTTGTTTCCAAAAGCCTCAGAGTGAGTTTCCCGCAATATAACATATGTAAATAATATATATATAGAGTACAAAAAAAATATCATTTTCTCCTCAACACGCAGTTGTTGCCTTCAAGTCAATACTGAATGCAGTTTAACCGAATAAGGCTGTTAAAATTCGCTGCCAGCCTACTACTCTATCAACATGTATTCTCAATTATGACGACATTCATAAACTAGAAGTTTGTAAATTGATACATCAATTACATAACTGTTGCCTTCCAAATGCTTTCAATAACAAATTAGTGTTCACAATCATAAAACTAGATCAACCTGTCATGTACCTCACCAGACTTCCAACAAGATAATACTCAATTTTCTTTTTAATTATATTGGTGTAATATTGTGCAATGCTCTCTGTGGCAAACACTTGAGCATGTCCTAATCACTTTTTAAATCAAACATGAAATAATCCTTATCTACCTACTTCGAATGTCCGTAGTGCTTTGACTCGGTGTGCAGCGTGTAGCTGAAACCAAAAACTGTGCTATTTGTTTGCGGTCTATTTATTATTGACTCATTTTTTGATGCAATTGTCTCAAGCAAGCTACCGTTATTTAACATGTTTATGTGAACCAACTCAGTGGCTGTCAATATGGTGTATATTGTTTATTTCACCTACTTATTCTATGACATCACAGTCGACCTTTTTACATAGTGTTCGTACAGAGTTATGGTTGTTACCGAGTAAGCGCATATTATGTCTTAGTGTATAACTGCTAATATATTAGTATAATAAGTATAAGTTTATTTCGACTCCATAATCAGCAAAACAATAAAATGAATGCTAAAAATAAATAAATAAAAACTGATTATGAAATCAGGAGAGCGAACAAAACCTTAGATAAGGTTTAAAACGTACAGAATGTATATAAGATGGAAGGTTTTGCCAAGAAGATGTGGTACGTGTTCACTCACCTAAAATAATTGAAATATTTCACACACGCTCACACGCACCCACACACGCAACCATATAGAAGTTATTAAGTAAAGGGAACATGAAAAATTACATACTGGTAGTTAATAAAAAATAAATAAATAAAAATTACTTGGCACACCATATTAATAAATTTATCACGATTGCCACTGCCAAATTGATCAATTTTATAAATGGGAGTGAACAGTAAAGATAAACTTTTATAAAAAAATATATTGTCAAGCTGATTATAGATGGAGTCAAATGCCAAAATGCCCAACCAAAGTTGCCAGAATTGGGTGCATGAAGAGGTGGGCTAGAGTTAGACCACTTCATTGCCCAAACTAGAGCCTATTATTGCCAAATTATAGTCCAGACTGCAATAAGTATTTAAATCTATCAGTAACTTTATAAGTATGAGTAATTATAATTAATTAAGGTAGAAAGACAGGGTATAGGAATATGTTGGTTGCTAAGGTTATAAGTTTTTTTTTTTTCATTCTTAGATATTGACTTCTGCAAGGATAAAGGAATTAGTATTGTTATTTCACAGGATCATTTCTTCATTTAATTATTGTGGCGTAATAGATGTCAATTCAAGTTTATCGTGGATGAGACATCAGCCTGCGAATTTTGTTGTTGTAGACACCATTTATATTCAATAAACTAGCCATTGTATTGATCATCACAGAAAGACCTGAAAAACAGAAAATAAATCTGCGAGTAGGATATTCAAGGGTTACATATTTGGAAACAGCACTACCCTACACTTTTGTTTAGAATTAATTATTACTTCGAGTAGATATTGATTATTAGTTATCTATCTATAAAACGCTAGTTCAAAGACCAGAGTTGAAATATGGTTGGGACACAGGGTGAATTCCTCGCAAACCATGCAGAAACTCTCAAACCACACTGACCATTCGTATGTTGGCCTCCACATCAACTTCACACCAGAACCTCAACCTAGGATAAAATTTTGTATACACACAAAACAAATCATAGAATACCACAACAAATTAAAATGAAGGGGAGAATCCAATATATCTCCACTGGTCGCCTAATTACAATAATAGGTACAGGAGCTAAACTATACGGTCTACAACCCTCGTAAGGTATCACACCACCCATATAGAAACAAAGACCATGCATGTGTAATGTCAAAAATCCAACGTTAAGCAAAAAAGGGAACATGCGCATGCAGATGTCAGAGTGTAAACAGCCATTTGAAAAATAAATAAATAAAATAATTTGCTGTGCATGCTACAGAACCCGACACACCAACATTAGGTGGAGAGAGATTAACTGCCGGCTCAACAACAATCAGCAGCTGCAGGAGCAATAGCAATATTGTAGCTGTTTAATATTTTCATGAAAATAAGTATGTGCAAGTGAAGAGTGTCCCAACTTTCTATCATGGTCATTCATGAAGGTTCAATATTTTTTGTTTGACTTAACTTGTTTCTGAAATGATTTTTTGGATTTTAATGACTTCAAATTCAAGGGGAGAGAGTTCCATAGCTTAGGTCCATTATAGCATAGGGCATGCTGGCTCACAGATTTACTCATAAACGGTATAAATAAATTGGAATTACTTCTTCGATTGGAGGTGGATTTGGTTAGTATGTCGTCAAAGCAGTTTGACAATGAGTTGTCATGAAAATCATAAACTAATGATAATACTTCAAATTTCATTATGTCTTCAACCTTGAGTATATTTAGCGATTTATAGAAATGATTTACGCTTTCACGTTTACTTTTCCTAAAGACAATTCTTAAAAAATTATTACAAATGCTTTGCAATTTCGAGACAAGTGTTTTATTACCATGGAGCCAGACTGAGCTACAATATCGGATATGACTTAGTAGTAGAGATTGAAACATTGCTTGTAAAGCTGATTGATTAACGCACTGGGATACTTTGGCAGCAACTGCCAAGTTCCTTTTTGTTTTACCAATAACATGCGACATTTGTGATTTCCATGATAGATTTTCATCAAAGATAACTCCTAGAAATTTTATTTCTTTCACTCTTTCAATTTCATTGTCATTGAGCAGTAGTGGTTTTGAACAACTCACACTTTTATGCTTGCTTGGGTGGAATAATACAAATTTAGTTTTGTTAGCATTAAGAGATAATTTGTTAACCAACATCCAGCTATGAATGTTGGTTAGTTCTTGGTTTGCAACTGTGAGTAGATCTTCAAGGTTTTTCCCATGAAGAATCAAGTCAGTGTCATCAGCAAACATGATCGACTCCAGAGGATTTCAGACACCTGGACATGTCAATAATAAATGATCCTTCCTTTCAAAGAACTCAGTTACGAATGTAGAACAACATTCGACAGTGTCCATTCAGTTGGTACCGCTCGGTACTTCAAAGCTTTCGTTTTTCGTGCTGTATAATACATCTGTGTAATCGATTCCGGCGGATCACCGGTACGGTATGGTACGGTACCGGACCGGTAACCGTCATCTTTCGTTCTCTAATATTAAAATAGCACTCATTTCGATTTGTGATCCGATTTGATTCTACATGAGTGTTATTACCCATCTTTCTGCGATATGTCTTTCAACACCACCTTTGACAATGTCATGTGGTAATGGTCAATTCTACCAACCAGTGATAAATTACCACATGGACTATTTTATTTTACACAGTCGAATTTCATCTTTGTAAGCTTTTTCAAACGGGGAATACCCTTGGCCACCTTGCGGGCCGAATGGGTATCTCGTGTTATCTAGTGGTTGATGTTGGTTGGTTAACTTACAAAGCTCGTGGACTCTGACAACTAATATTTCCGGCCTTACAAATTAATATTACATATTGGAACCTAAGACGGCGCTGGTTATATCCATTCTCAGTTCCTCGCGGCTTTCTTTACCCAGTGAGTTATGTGTTCAATTTTCTTTTGCATGCTATTTTTACTGTGACTGATTGCGTGCATTATATACTCAAATAAAATAAATAATCTGCTTGAGTCTAATTTTACACGCTGCTCTGTGTTACGAAGACACTGTTTTTCTGAGGCATGATAGAAGACTGTTCAATCAGGCACCTTGCACATGCCTAGTTGTTTCGTTTTTGTTAAATCGACCATACTTTTTCAAATTTTTTTTTCACAGCATGTGGTAATGTTACCCGGACGATTACTTTTTACTTGTTTAGTTTTATTAATGAGGTCAAAATTACAGAAGTGTCAACATGAAGTCCCATGCCCTTGTGCTTCGCCAATTCTAACCTTGTACCTTGCTTCGCCGATTCTAACCTTGTAGTTGGTTGACAGGCCATCCCACCTGCAGATAACGGTTGAGCGCAGTTTGACGACAATTTGACAAGACTGCAAGATAGCCTTCTCAAACGTATTGGCTGGCGCATAAAAATATATTTAACTCTCTGTGATATTCCCAAGAAACGGAAATGACAATTATTTTGACTTTACCAAAGTAAATAGAGATGGCCCTGAATTAGGATTACCATATTTTTTTGACTTCAAAGCGGGACGCCTTCTGTAACTTTACAGTTTCCGATTTTACTACATATGCCTACATTTAAGCCACCCGGGCTGTCTTCATTGACCATATTGTCATCGAAAGTTCATGCGTATATGCTCTGTCTAAATATCGGGTTCAGTTCGAAAAATAGAAAGGAATAGACGCTAACGATACAAATGATCCGAATTTAGATTTTTTTATGTACAGCAAAAGGGATAAAAAATAATGAAATAGTCTGCCGTTTTCAAGCATTGAGAATTTACTTATTCGCCCAAGCATGCTTTTCTGTAGATAACACCTTAAAAAAACAGTGCATGTTTGCCACCAGGTAAACTCATGTTGATAATAAATGAAGCACAACCGGTGTTAGCAAAACGATGTAATTTGCCGACGTTTCGAATTTCTATACAAAAAAACTTCATCAGGGCATGATATGGATATCCGCTTGTGTCCTATTCAATTTCTTGTTAGATTTGATCTATGATTTCTGAGCATCTGAAATCCAAACTCTGGGTTGTTCAAATTTTAACTCTAACCCTACAAAGTTAGAAAGTAAAAATGATACTATAACGTCGGGGGTAATCCCGCGTTTCACAGTCCTGCACACTCATTCATAAATTTATTAAAAGCCTTGTTAACTTGACGAAATGAGTGGGCACAATTAACCAAGCATACTGCTAAAGTTAATTTAAAAGTGGGGGATTTTTTATATTGAGCACTGCTTGTGAACAAGAATGAAAACTAAAGAGTTTGCATAAACAGAAAATTTTGTATTGGAAACACTCGTCCAATAAATGTTTCGGTATTTGCGTAATGTGGGAGGATGAAAATTTCACACTCACGAAAAATGAGTTTTATTCATGTATCAGAATACGATTTTGGAAGCTCTCCCAAATTGTTTTGCCTAAATAAATTTCTTAATTTGTCAAGTGCTTTTCGAATCGTAGTTTTTACTTCTTCATCAAAAAGATAATACGGGAATTCCGACTTTGGTCTTTTGAACGACCCGGTGTGATCAAGAATTAGACACACCAGTCTGTCTTCCAGACTAGGAATATATTTTTCTATCAACTTTCTTGGAAAAAAATTGACTACTTTTCTCATCTGAGGCAGCAGATTGTCCACAAGATCTTCATATAAAACAACAACTTTGTCTCCTTTAACGTGTGTGAAATATCTTTGAAGTCTGCGAAGCCACTCCGGTGCACTCTTTGAAAGATACGCCTTGAAAACTAGAAAGAAAAAAACATCCATTCTCAAAGCCAGAGTTATCTTAGAACACACACATGTTAGGTAGGCTATGTATGCCTATTGCCTACCTTCGAGTGTGAGTTTTTCAACATCCACTGTCCCAACATGACCAGAATATTTTCTGTGATAGTCCGCCAGTAACGCATGAAATGGATTTCGTAAAAGTATTATTGCACGTTTGTAATTTCGATTCTTCTCCTTCATGAAGTGATCCTTTACCGCCAATGTCCTGCCAGAGTTGTAAGTTGTACATTCGCCGATGAAACCTGAATGGTAGAAAACTTTATTACTGTGCGTTGTTATTTATGGAATAAGCATGTGTTGTTCACTTTAGACTCATAAAATTGTTGGGTTCGGAAATAGCAAGACAAGCCATTGGAACGCGTCATTTCCAAACATTATTGCAGTTTCATGTGAGTCCGTGGTAACTAATCACACTGCACCATCAAATACCGACAGTTATTTATTTACTGTTGACTTATATGGCGTTATGGAGTTGCTGATTTGATTATTCAAGAGTTTCATTGAAAATCCTAATCACTAAAATACAACAATATTGATTTTTGAGTCTTCTTGGCAAACTTTAGACAATTAATATTGTTACTGTATAGGTTGTTAGATACTGGGCAGTATCTAGCGTTCCTTGACTTCTAGTGTAAGATTCAATGGAGGCATTTTCACATGTACGAACCTCCTTTACGCAACCTTTTATCCCCGTAAGATGAGCCTGAATAAATCCCAGTGGCGACTTCAAGTAAATATCGCATCCAGGTGTTTCCAGATCCTGGTGGACTCGCGAGAGCAGTCACGGGAGATTCGTTTGGTTCTAAAAATGCGCGACTTGAACAAAAACGATTTTCCTGGTAAGTGTGATAAAGATGAAAAGATTTTTCTTTGCTGCTCTCGTCACATTGTTTAAGTAATGTTTCCAACTCCGTGGCATTACGAAATCTGCAATAAAAAATACTGAATGAATACTTATATATGTATTAAATAAAGTTTGTACAATATTCTATATATAGCCTACCACCTCCGGGGAATTGTCATCAGTTGTAAAATTAATATCTTATCCGAACAGTTTGTAATCAATCGCTTAATCATCTCTGAGAGATATTCTCAGTGGTGGGATTCTTTGTATCGACGACAGGTTCCCTCATACTTTTCTACGTAAGATATATCAACATGACACGCTTCAAATAAATATAATATATAACTTTCGAAACCCCAAATATTACGCCAGTGGTTAACTGCGGTGCACATTTGCTGCGGTCGTCTAATGTCTAAGGCAAAAAAACAAGAACGGATTCGCTGAATATCACGACATTCCGAGAACGGCTCCGGCGGACTCCCCGATTCCCGCCACTTGAAATGAAAAGTATCCCCTGTAATAACAATCGATTGTCCTAATACATTATTTAACTTACACTGTCCTCGGTTCAAAGCATAGGCAAGTAGTTTTTTCGCGACTCTTCATCGCAAGTGGAAATTTTCTTTCTTCGCACAAATATATGCATTTTTCGATGGATGGCGCACTTGTTCTGAATACCTTATCCTTGTCAAATATAAATATTTGGGGAAGAAGTGGAACACAACCTACGTAATATTTTTGAACAAGAGCTTCAGGAAACCCTGTAAAATACGAACAAGTGTTTTGCACAGCTATACTCAAGTTATTTCGGAAAAACACATTTGAGTAATCTAGATGTTTTGTCTTAACAAGAGTTAATTTAAAGCCTATGTGCGGTCCACAATTTGTATTGTCGTTACTTATATTTACGACTGACCTTTATGGCACGATTCTGTAATATGAAATATCTCGATTCTTTTATCTTCTCTTGATGTTTTGTCGCAATATGTCCATGATTGAATATCCACCAAATGTTTGGAATCATTCGCACAATAGCAAGTTGATTCTATTTTTCCGTAGTAACGGTAAGTACTGCAACAATAATTGAGTCAAGATGCACCATAGTCATAAACATATTAAAATATGATTAGATGGAAACGTGATCCCTGATACTTGTATTGCAGTGAGATAGAATAGGTTGGGTGTTCGTGAAAAAAGTGATTATTGGTTCGAGATAAGGCTTTGTATGAAAGAAAACCTAGTTAGCTCTTGTGTATTAAACGTACCTTTCTTATTGAAAAAAAGAGTATGGCTCAAATTTATGTTTGCGAATGTCACGCACTGGCACCGGAAGGTTTTAGCTAAGCATCGAGTAGAAAAGACAGGCGGATGAGCGTGAAAGTGTTTCCAAGCGCCATGAAAAATTCTCCCAAGAAATAAAATAAAACAGCCATTTGTGGGTAAAATATCGGACGCCATAAAATAGAATATGAAAAATAATAATGAATAACAGCCTTGAGGGACTTATCTAATAGTTTAAACACTTTGTATCCAATAAGAACTAACCTGATTTTGCAGTATTTGATACATGCCTGAAGGATCACGTGTTACGCCATAGCGATTCCGTGAAACTAACCTTTTCGAACAGTCGTGAAGACATGACATCAGAGAACTTTGCTCACTTCTATCAATTTTTTCCTTCATTACCGCTAGATTGAAACACCCCATGCTTTGTGATTTGCATCGAATAACTGATTCTATATCAACATGAACGTCTACTTTTGTGACAGTATCAGAAACGGTTGGTGTTTCTTTTCGCATATGAACTGTGTCTATCGAAGTTACACTGCTGCGAAAATAAATTATTGGATGATAGTATATTTGGTGTTCTCGCAACTTTTTTCTGCACGACCCACGTTTTCGCGACCCTCAGACTTTTTAATGGACCGATGTGTTGGCATATTCTCGCATAAAAGATCGAATCTTGGCACTACTGGTTCCAAATTTGATCGATATTTTGTTTCAACATAAGTTAGTGTCGAAAAAGATTTTTCACGCAGATAAGAGAAGACAAAGTAAAAAGAGTAAACATGGCTAATTCTGACAATAGTGGGAAACGCAACCCTCTGAAGAGCCCTGGATAAGATGTATGAAATATATCCGGTTCCTGAAGATTGGCGAATCATATTACTTTTAAGTATCAGCTGCTATTTCTCTTAAACCATCCTATACTTTGGCGTGTTTGAAATTCATTGGCAAATTTCTAGTACGCTTGCTTGGTTGTATAAACCTCAGCGCTAAATTTCTAGGATGCAAAAGCATAGACATTTACCATAGCAACAAAAAGTAATTTAAAATTATGTAAACATACTTGTATAAATACTTGTGATATTGTAATTTGATCAATGCAATAAAGCAGAAAAGGGTAGTCACGGCGACAGACAAAATTGACCTATGCAACGAGCATTTTCTGAAATACATTGGGTTAGTTATAGAACTTATGTCATGACTCACATCAGTGCAAAATGACAGAGTTTTGATATCGGCTGTACCAGGATAACACAACGCCAGACTCTCTCACGTGGTGGATTATACCTAGGCACAATAGCCGTCATTGTAAAAATATTATCCCTAGTCGGAATACTTGAACCGACTGTATACCTTGCAAATCACGGTCTAAAAACAAATCTTTGTCTCACCTTGTACTCATTCTAACGATGAGTAAATGACTATAAATCCTACGCTTCACCAGCATATTTATCCATAAATACTAATTGTAACACGACTGCATATTACCAACGAGACTTACTGTTTGTCAACCGACCTGAATTTTGAAAACCGTCTCAGAATATTACCTTATGTATGGTTGAGTATAATCGTACATGAATCCAAGTCCCATGTTCAACAACAGAGCAATGTACTTCGCTTGTAAAAGACGCTTTTCTGCATCGATTTTATCAATGGGTTGCGTTTGAAAATACTAATGGTTGTAACATATTAAAACATGATTTGAACTGCATGTTTCCTCCAGAATCACATTTCCGTTATGATAGCATAATGACCGAAATCTGTTGCGATCGAACACCGTAATTTCAATGAGATGTAATGCGCCCGAGGGGCATATATGGAATGAAACTGAATGGGGGTAGCAGATAACGATTAATATTATTTTTTATCTATCATAAATATTGCCGAAGAAACTTCAACTAAAACCTTATGACAACTACTACATTTTAATTTTAGAGACAACATACTAACTGTTCGAGTATAGGGTCTAGCGCAGCGGCTCCCAACCTTTTTTGTGTCGCGGCACACTATTGAGCTATTTAAATATTCGCGGCACACCTATCACAAAATAGAAAATTTCCTACTCTTGAAGCCATTTAGCTATAAAATAATAAAAAAACATAGAAGATCAGATGCGGAAAATTCTATTCTTGTTAATACAACATACCCTGTATTTAAAATGGATGGTTAATAGTTACTGATACTATGACTGTTTTCTTACAATAATGTACACGAGACCCACCTTCGGAACACCTCACATTATTGTAAAAGATGCGCGGCGCACGGGTAAAACGTGACGTGACGCTAATACGCTTTGATTTTTCTCGCCCTTCCCCGTTCCACCTTATTATTATCACAGGCATTCTCAATCTTGTACAACCTATTTCATTTTAGTTACAATTCAATATGTTTCTCCCACTACCAAAAGCATTCAGTAGTGTTATTGTCGGCGATTGCGAGAGATATATGGAAGAGGCAAACACACCGTATTTCATTACAACAATTAATTATTATCGCTAAAAACACTAAATAGGTTTAAAGTTGTTATGAACAATTTTCACCGATGGACGAATCTTTTCACGTTATAAATTTTCTTCAAGGCCCGAGGATAATTTGAGACCGCAGAAACTATCCGAAAAATAACCGTTTCTGTGTTCGAGATATGAAATAATCGTCAATTCCACCACGCTTTCGTGAAATAGTGCAATTTAATGAAGGTTTTATTATTAAATTTCATTGCATCAGTGTTTATGCTACCAAGCGTGGGCAAAATAGAATATTTTTTTCGAATCGAATAATCAGAATATTTTTAACGAATTGTCGAATATCGGGTATTTTTAATACGCATACAACGGTCATCCAGAATGCTATAGGCATTCTAATGTTGGTGAGCTATTTCCGCCCGTCCTTCCTTTTTTACAAGTACTACTTCTTACGCAACGTTTGGTTTTATATTCCTGGGAGAACTATGCGTTCATATGGGCAACATATTATGTTAAACAGCCATTAAAGAGTGAATTCGGGATTTTATTCCGATTTTTATCTTTTACGCCGTGTTGATTTTTCTCCCCACCGATTGTAGATTAAATGTCCCAATTTTAAGCTAATAATATTTTCATTTCTGACGCAGGAAGGCGGATATTTATAAAGACGATAGTTGACCTTCTTATGATTTTACTTTCCCATTGCGTCTGTTTTATTTCAGTATTGAATAGTGAATAAGTGAATCCTGCACAAAGTCATTGCGTGAATCCTGAATGTTATTTTGAGTTTAAATAATAATTCAATGAATCGGCAATAATGACAATTCTATTGGTCAAGTAATAATTCCTTGGTCAAATTTAGGAAAAATTTTGCGCAATAATTCGTTACCTTGTTTGACATTTTCAATCTTACAAAACGGTGTTGGCGCGCATTATGCAAAACTTAGAATTAAAACAATACCCAAATACCTGAAATACGCCTCCTCAAATTTGTCGTTTCTGTTTGTTAGCAAGAGCCGTGGGGTAATTCTTGTGGAATTCAAGGGATCGAAATCACTTGAAATCAATTCAAAAATGAAATCTCTTCGCGGCACACCAAAATCTTTTTGCGGTACACCAATGTGCCGCGGTACCTTGGTTGGGAACCACTGGTCTAGCGTATGTAATAGAGCTATTTTATAGCTCAAACATCAAAATTTATTTTCAGTTTGGTTATGGCAATATCAGGCGGGCCAGATTGAATTACCTAATGGGCCGGATTTGGCCCGCGGGCCGTAGTTTCCCATGTAGAGCGTTTCAGCTCTTTTAAACCATATTTATGGACATCGTTTCACTGGGTATATGCAACTTTCAGAATGCACATCGTGACATACAACATTTGGACCTCCTGAAGTATGCGCACCAAGATGGCGCACAACCTGAACTCAGGTTGTGTACCAGGTTAGGGTTCAGGTTATGCGACATCTTGGTGCGCATACTTCAGGAGTACTCAACATTTTGTATATATCAATGATCTTAAACTACGGACGTTATTGAACATCAAAATGCAATTGTTCTATTGTAAAAATTATTTTTAATTATTTTGTCAATATATGAAGGTTTTCAAATTGAACCTAAAATTATTTGAGACCATAATCTTCGATATTTATACGCGAAATATATTCTTAAAACCCATTTAAGAAATATCGCGAGAGCTTACTTGACCCATTGCTCAGGGGACCAGTTGCTATTAATTGCACAGTACATACGCAAGCAGGAAAACAGAAAAGATGTTCTGGAAATTTCGAGGAATAAATTAGTTGAATTCCAATGGTTTGCACATCTTCTAACCGCCACTGAATAAATCAAAACAAATTTATATGTTGGCTGTCATATTTCTATATAGAATGTAATTCGAGAAGTTGTTCATTTTTATAAAAATTTAATGTTTCCGCTCAGTGTGATTCTCAGATGACTAAACTTAATTGCAGCCATACTGATCTGCAAAGCTGATCGATACTGGTCAAGTCTGGACGATAATATTAGTAATATATTCGCGTGGGACGAGATTTTTGCTGCAGCGGTTGAGCCGAGCATACAATTTCATTTCTGAAAATTATTTCATCAAAACTAAACATGTTTGACCGTACAAAACAGTAATCGAATGAATATAAAGTTCAACTGCATGATATCTGCAAAGAAGACAGTTTAAATGATATATTTAACCATGGATTCCCACCTGGTTTACCGTAGGGATATAGTGTGCCAAATAGCTTCTTAGCAGCTACTCGCTCAATCGATTGGGGGAACTTTCTCGCTTCGACAATCATTATAAACATTCAGCTTGTAACTACAGACGTATCACTTTTTATTAAACCTACTGTGGAGTCGTACAGTTGTTGCTGATAGCTACAGTTGTAGCTACAGCCCTTGCTGATTTGAATAATAGTTTATTTATTCATATTTATATATTGAGTACTATTTGTGTATTTGTAAAAAATTGTCATCTGATTTGGGGGCTAAGCCCTTTCCAGACTCTTTGTGTATTTGCAAAAACTGCCTTACCTTCACATCATTCATTCCTCCCTATTCTTTATATTGAGAACTATTTTGTGCATTTGCAAAATCTTTCGTTTATTTGAGAGGCTGACCCTCGCTACTTCAAATAATGATTATTTATACAAATTTCCACTTATATATGCGGGCTACTTGTATATTTGCAAAAACTTCCTTTCATTTGCCAGGCTGATTATTGCTGCTGCCAAATAATAGTCATCGTTTACCAATTTAACAATTGTTATGTGTCCAATTTACATTTGAGTATAGTAGCCAATAGCCAAAATTGTTTTTTATTTGTGGGGCTTACTCCTCACTTTCAATTAATAGTGTAATAGTTGAATATTTGCCCAAACTGTTTCATTTCACAAATCTCATCATTTAAAAATTGATTTCATGAAAAAAAATTATTTACTTCATTTTTTTGTTTGTTTGTTTTTTCCAAAATTTTGCTTCGTGAACCTTAACCATTTCTAATAGTCCTATTTTACTGTGAACTTATCAGCGTAAACTTGGAAAGGGGCTGACTTCAATGACCGCATGGTCGTATCGCGAAATCGTATACCGAAAAAAATGCATTTTTTTTTATAGCCATTATTTATTTATTATTATGACTGTTTTTTTCTGGTTGACGAAATAAATCTCTCTGTCTCACTTTTTTAAGAGATAAAATTAGCACTTAACATGAATATATTAGATTGGATAGAAATATTCTACTTTGGATTAACACGTTTCTATTATGGAAACTCTGCTTGTGTCTTATTCAACTTCTTGTTAGATTTGATCTATGATTTCTGATCATCTGAAATCCAAACTCTGGGTTGTTCAAATTTTAACTTTAACCCTACAAAGTTCAAAAGTAAGAATGATACTATAACGTCGGGGGCAATCCCGCATTTCACAGTCCTGCACACTCATTCATAAAATTATTTAAAGCCGTGTTAACTTAACGAAATGAGTGGGCACAATTAACCAAGCATATTGCTAAAGTTAAAATAAAAGTGGAGGATTTCTTATATTGAGCATTACTTGTGAACAGGAATGAAAACTAAAGAGTTTGCTTAAACAGAAAATTTTGCATTGGAAACCACTCTTCCAATAAATGTATCGACATTTGCCCAATGTGGGAGGATGAAAATCCCACACTCACGGAGAATGCTGAGTTTTATTCATGTATCAGAATACGATTTTGGAAGCTCTCCCAAATTATTCTGCCTAAGTAAATTTCTTAATTTGTCAAGGGCTTTTCGAATCGTAGTTTTTACTTCTTCATCAAAAAGATAATACGGGAATTCCGACTTTGGTCTTTTAAACGACCCGGTGTGATCAAGAATTAGACACACCAGTCTGTCTTCCGGGCTAGGAATATATTTCTCTATCAACTTTCTTGGAAAAAAATTGACTACTTTTCTCATCTGAGGCAGCAGATTGTCCACAAGATCTTCATATAAAACAACCACCTTGTCTCCTTTAATGTGTGTGAAATATCTTTGAAGTCTGCGAAGCCACTCCGGTGCACTCTTTGAAATATACGCTTTAAAAACTATGAGGAAAAATAGAAAGAAACATCCAATCTCAAAGCCAGAAATATGTTAGAACACACACATATTACAGAGTATGTATGCCTACCTTCGGGTGTGAGTTTTTCATCATCCACTGTTGCAACATGACCAGAATATTTTCTGTGATAGTCCGCAGTAACGCATGAAATGGATTTCGTAAAAGTATTATTGCAGCGTTCGTAATTTCGATTCTTCTTTTTCTAAAAATGATCCTTTACCGCCAATGTCCTGCAGAATTGTATGTTGTACATTCGCCGATGAAACCTGAATGGTGAAAAACTTTATTACTGCGGCGTTGGTTTATTTATCGAATCGGTCCAGTGTTTACTTTAGAACCAGTGTTCCCTCTAAGGTTTCAGAGGCTGCGCACACGCAATAGATTTACTGCGCACAGACTTATTTCGATGTAATGTAAAAAATGTGCTCGGTTGGCAGGTTGAGAAGGTTTGTTGTTGGCCACCCATTACCCAGTTAGACCACGCCAAAATTTCTATCCATTGGTTTTTGCCAGCAAATATTAGTCATTTCCAAAAAAAGTGCCGACACACCAAAATTTCCTGCGCACACATACTTACAAAAATTAGAGGGAACATTGCTTTAGACTCCATAAAATTATTGATTTTGGAAAATAGGCAAGAACAAGGCCATTGAAACGGCTCCATTTCCAAACATTATTGCAGTTTCATGTTAGTCCATCCAAACACCGGACAGTTTATTTATGTACTGCTGACTTGCGTTATAGGTTATAGACATTGCAGACAATATGAAATAGGCTCAAAAAACAACTTTTGATTTTGATCGAGTGTATCATTGAAAATCCTAATCACTAAATACAACAATATTGGTTTTTGAAATAGTCCTTCTTTGGCAACTCTATAACAATCAATATTATTTTTGTATAAGTTGTTAGAAAGTGGGTGATTGGAGGCATTTTTCACCTGTACCACCTCCTTTACTGCAACTTTTATCCCCGTAAGATGAAGCCTGAATAAATCCCAGTAGCGACTTCAAGTAAATATCGCATCCAGTGTTTCCCGATCCTGGTGGACTCGCGAGAGCAGTCACAGGAGACTCGTTTGGTTCTAAAAATGCGCGATTGAGCAAAAACGATTTTCCTGGTAAGTGTGATACAGATGAAAAGATTTTTTCTTTGCTGCTTCCTTCACATTGTTTAAGTAATGTTTCCAACTCCGTGGCATTACGAAATCTGCAATAAAAAAATATTGAATAAATGCTTAATATATATCAAATAATTTTGTACAAAATTTCCATGATTCATCATTAGTTGTAATAATTGATATCTTATCCGAACATATTGTGATCAATCGCTCAGATCAGCGTTTCTCAAACTGTGTTCCGTGAACTTCCGCTTCTTTGTAGTGTTCCGCGGACATGGATCGAAATTACGACTAAATGGGTCGCCATGGAGATCTCGGTCGTACTTTGGCGCTCCGAGTCGTCAATTTGTCTCCCAACTGGAGACGAACTGGCGGACAGGCCTCGTGCCAGTCTGGAGAGCATGGCGTTTTTGTCAACCGTTCAATATTGTTAACCGTCGGCATAATTTTTCAGTTGTCAAGTTTACAGCAAACTTTTTAATTTAATGTAGGCTACTTTTTTGGAAACCACCCTTTCCAGTGATTTGTTGATTGCCTCGAAAGACGACGTTATGAGGCTGTTGTGCAAGTTGATGCTCAAAGTGAATCCATTACCCATTTTTTTCATCATCAATGTAACCTTTCAACTTCTTGGTATTCCGCGAAGCGTGATAAAAAGCGTAGGTGTTTCAGCGCAAAAAAAATTAGAGAAACGCTGGCTTAGATGATTGTCTCTGAGAGATATACTCGGCGATGGAATTTTTTGTCGAACTCACCAACGACAGGTTCCCTCATACGTCACTACATCAACAGGGCACAATTTAAATAAATATAATATATAACTTTTCGAAACGTCAAACATAACTCCAGTGGTTATTTGCAGTGTACGTTACTCTTTTTCTGCGATCGTCTAATGTCTGAGGCAATAAATCAAGAACGGGTTCGCTGAATAGCACGACATTTCGAGAACGGCTCCGGCGGAATCCCCGATTCCCGTCTCTTGAAAAGAAAACTATCCCCTGTAACAGTAATCGATTGTCCTAATGCATTATTTAACTTACACTGTCCTCGGTTCGAAAGCATAGGCAAATAGTTTTTTCGTGACTCTTCATCGCAAGAGAAAATTTTCTTTCTTCGCATAAATATATGCATTTCTCGATGGATGGCGCACTTGTTCTGAATACCCTCTCCTTATCAAACATGAACATTTGAGGTAGGCAGTGGAACACAACCTACGTAATATTTTTGAACAAGAGCTTCAGGAAACCCTGTAAAATACGAACGAGTGTTTTGCACCGCCATACTTGGTTATTTTCGGAAAAACACATTTGAGTAATCCAGGTTTGCTGCGAATTTTTGTTTTAACTTCAGTTAGTTCAAAGCCCGTATGCGCTCCAGGTCCAGGCTCAGCTATCAGGAAAAGTCTATAATTTAAATCGTCGTTACATATATTCTCTACTGACCTTTATGGCATGGTTCTGTAATATGAAATATCTCGATTCTTTTATCTCGTCTTGATGTTTTGTCGCAATATGTCCATGATTGAATATCAGCTAAATGTTTGGAATCATTTGCACAATAGCAAGTTGATTCTATTTTCCCGTAGTAACGGTAAGTACTGCAACAATAATTGAGTCAAGATGCACTATAGTCATAAACATATTAAAATATGATTAGATGGAAACGTGATCCCTGATACTTGTATTGCAGTGAGATAGAATAGGTTGGGGGTTCGTAAAAAAAGTGATTATTGGTTCGAATTCGAGATAAGGCTTTGTATGAAAGAAAACCGAGTTAGCTCTTGTGTTTTAAACGTACCTTTCTTATTGAAAAAGAGTACTCAAATTTATGTTTGCGAATGTCACACACTGGCACCGGTGAAGTCTTAGCTGAGCATCGAGTAGAAAAGATAGGCGGATGAACGTGAAAGTGTTTCCAAGCGCCATGAAAAATTCTCCCAAGAAATAAAATAAAACAGCAATTTGTGGGTGAAATATCGGACGCCATAAAATACAATATGAAAAAAATAATGAGTGACAGCCTTGAGGGACTAATATTTAAGTAGGCCTACTGAAATGTTAAAATAGTTCGAACACTTTGTATCCAATAAGAACCACCCGGATGTTGCGGTATTTGATACATGCCTGAAGGATCACGTGATGGGCCTTAGCGATTCCGTGAAACTAACCTTTTCGAACAGTCGTGAAGACATGACATCAGAGAACTTTGCTCACTTCTATCAATTTTTTCCTTCATCACCGCTAGATTGAAACACCCCATGCTTTGTGATTTGCATCGAATAACTGATTCTATATCAACATGAACGTCTACTTTTGTGACAGTATCGGAAACGGTTGGTGTTCCTTTTCGCATATGAACTGTGTCTATCGAAGTTACACTGCTGCGAAAATAAATTATTGGATGATAGTATATTTGTGTTCTCGCAACTTTTTTCAGCACGACCCACGTTTTCGCGACCCTCAAATTTTGTAATGGACCGATGTGCTGGCATATTCTCGCAGCATAAAAGATCGAATCTTGGCACTACTGTTTCCAAATTTGATCGATATTTTGTTTCAACATAAGTTATAGTGTCGAAAGAGATTTTTCACGCAGATAAGAGAAGATAAAAGGAAGAAAAGTAAACATGGCTAGTTCTGACAATAATGAGAAACGCAACCCTCTGAAGAGCCCTGGATAAGATACGAAACATATCCGGTTCCTGAAAATTGGCGAATCATATTACTGTTAAGTATCAGCTGCTATTTCTCTAAAACCATCCTACACTTTGGCTTGTTTGAAATTCATTGGCAAGTGGCTAGTACGCTTTCCTGGTTTTGTAAAAACCACAGCGCTAAATTTCTAGGATGCAAAAGCACAGACATTTACCATAGCAACAAAAAGTAATTTAAAATTATGTAACTCACTTGTATAAATACTTGTGATATTGTAATTTGATCAATGCAATAAAGCAGAAAAGGGTAGGCACGGCGACAGACAAAATTGTCCAATAAAACGAGCATTTTCTAAAATACATTGGGTTAGTTATACAATCTATGTCATGACGTTTGTAACCACATCGGTGGCAGTCAGTGCAAAATGAGTTTTGATATCGGTTGTACCGGGATAACTCAACGCCTGACTCTCTCACGTGGTGGATTGTACCTAGGCACAATAGCCGTCATTGTAAAAATATTATCCCTAGTCGGAATACTTGAACCGACTGTATACCTTGCAAATTACTGTCTAAAAACAAATCTTTGTCTCACCTTGTACTCATTCTAACGATGAGTAAATGCCTGTAAATCCTACGCTTCACCAGCATATTTATCCATAGATACTAATTGCAACACGACTGCATATTACAGAGCAACAGAGCAATTTACTTCGCTTGTAAGAGGCGCTTTTCTGCATCGATTTTATCAATGGGTCGCATTTGAAAATACTTATTGTTGTAATATATTAAACATGATTTTTAACTGCAAGTTTCCCCCAGAATCACATTTCCGTTATGATAGCAAAATGACTGAAATCTGTTTCGATTGAACACTGTAATTTCAATGAGATGTAGAGCGCCCGAGGGGCATATGTGGGATGAAATTGAACGGGGGTATCAGATGTCGATTAATATCATTTATCTATCATAAATATTACCAAAGAAACTCCAACTAAAATATTATGACAACTACTACAATTATATGTTATAGACAACATACTAACACCTCGAGTATAAGGTCTAGCGTATGTAAGCCTTGTATATGAAGCGAAGCTGTGATTAAATTGACCGATTTTAGCTCTATCTATTTATCAAATTCAATGAGCCAAGCGGCTGAGTAATACATTACATATTCAAAAGTTTCGCCATCTATGCTTCGGCCAACAATTGAATTGGCATAGTCAACTCTACTAGTATTATTCTTACCGGGGAATCAATGTATCGCGTCTAGTTTGAAAGAATATTACATTGGCATTTCACGTTTGACTAATTTTCAAACTTTTTCCAATTCAATGCTGTCCCACAGTAACAGGAATCCTTATGACTAGGGCTGCGTCAAATTGAATTTTTTTTTTATCCGATTGGAACCGAATATTTTTCCTCGATCCGAACCGAATATTATTGCGCAATATTAAATCTGTCTCAGTTGTACAAGTAAAACTCCCCATTTGTACACATGGGGGTCATGAGTGTTAAAAGCCTCGGTAAGGGCCTACAAGGTTGGAAACCACTGTAATAGTGGGTCCAATAAATACGGTAGCTGGCGTTTCACGCTCAATACATTATTGGCATCTTTTTCGAAATATGATTTATTGGACACGTAATGGACCTATGGATCGTTTCAATATTATGTTGTTGTTCTTTGACACGTTTTTGGACACCTAGAGGAAAACCTAAAAAGTCAGATAAAAATTTTCTCCAGGAAGCTATTACTTTTATTTATTTCAAATATTTCTGTTAACTCAGTGAGATTTGTTTTGGTTTGCTATGACGTCACCGAACGTTCTGCGGACTCTTGATCACGTGCCATCGAACTTCGGCGTGAAGGTGGATTCTGAAAATCGTTGCTCAAAAATTGTAAGTTTTTTGAGGTTACCGGTGATGCTAAAGGTACGGTAAACCGTACTGCACTGCTTATATTGGTGTGAATATATATAGACTGTGGTATCTGCTGTTATAATACTGTGATAAATCCATTGAGGTGTAAATCGAATTAGTTGGTTTTGCAAAGAAGAAGTGTCTGGCATTACAGGTATATTGGTAAGTTAAAACGTACCGTACCGCATGTGAATATCTGAGAATAATTTTTTTAATAATTTCAATCTTGTTCCAATAATGGAGAAGGGAATGACATGGATTACTTAGTATTTCAATTCATGTTGCAATTGAATGGAGAATAATAGATCATTGGCACGGGACATGTGAAATGGGAGGCAGACAACTCGACTACACACGGACAACTCACCAGATACAACTCGACTACAGCTAAGCCTGGTGAGTTATCCGTGTATTCGAGTTGTCCATCAGCCGTAAACGGCTATGACAGTCACTCTACCAAAAGCTGTACTTCGATTCAGATGGTGTTGAATTGACGCATGTTATTTAGTAACGTTTTTATGTGAAATGTTTAACTGTGGTACCTGATATGATACATAATTGACTCATAGAACGAGATATTTCAATATATTCAAGAAGTATGGATCAATGTCACAGGACCTAAAATAAATATGACAGTCTCTGTACCGTCACGGTACCCCGATACAGGTACTGGTAAGTCACCGCATATGATTTTTGAGGAATTGTCTGCTTGTCCACATATTTGAGCATTGCTCTCTTGTCATTTTTTTAGTATTGGAGCAATAAGAAGTCTAAATGATATATTCAACCATGAACTCAACTCCCACCTGGTTTACCGTCGGGATATAATGTGCCAAATAGCTTCCTAGTCGCTCAATCGATTGGGGGAACTTCCTCGCTGCGACAATCATTATAAAAATTCAGCTTGTAACTACAGACGTATCACTTTTAATTAAACTTACTGTGGAGTCGTACAGTTGTTTTAAGAAGTAAATTTAGCACTTAACATACATGATATGTATTAGATTGGATAGAAATATTCTACTTTGGATTACCACGTTTCGATTATGGAAACTCCGCTTGTGTCTTATTCAATTTGTTGTTAGATTTGATTTATGATCATCTGAAATCCAAACTCTGGGTTATTCAAATTTTAACTCTGACCCTACATAGTTCAAAAGTAAGAATGATACTATAACGTCAGGGGAAATTCCTCGTCTCACAGTCCTGCACACTCATTCATAAAATTATTTAACGCCGTGTTAACTTTACAAAATGATTGAAGGGCACAATTAATCAAGCATACTGCTAAAGTTAAAATAAGAGTGGAGGATTTTTTATATCGAGCACTGCTTGTGAACAGAAATGAAAACTAAAGAGTTTGGAAACACTCGTCCAATAAATGTATCGACATTTGCCTGATGAGGGAGGATTTCGATTATGGAAACTCCGCTTGTGACCTCTTCAATTTCTTGTTAGATTTGATCTATGATTTATGAGCATCTGAAATCCAAACTCTGGGTTCAAATTTAAACTCTGACCCTACAAAGTTTGAAAGTAAGAATGATACTATAACGTCGGGGGGGGGGGGGGGGGGGTAATCCCTTGTCTCACAGACCTGCACACTCATTCAGAAAATTATTTAGAGCCGTGTTACCTTGACGAAACGAGTGAAGCACAATTATTCAAGCGTATATATATACTGCTAAAGTTAGAATAAAAGTGGAGGATATTTTATATTGAGCACTGCTTGTGAGCAGAAATAAAAAGTAAAGAGTTTGCATAAAGAGAATATTTTGCATTGGAAACACTTGTCTAATAAATGCATCGACATTTGCCTAATGTGGGAGGATGAAAATTTAACACTCACGGAGTTTTATTCATGTATCAGAATACGATTTTGGAAGCTCTCCCAAATTGTTCTGCCTAAATAAATTTCTTAATTCGCCAAGTGATTTTCGAATTGTAGTTTTTACTTCTTCATCAAAAAGATAATACGGGAACTCCGACTTTGGTCTTTTGAAGGACCCGGTGTGATCAAGAATTAGGCACACCAGTCTGTCTTCCAGACTAGGAATATATTTTTCCATCAACTTTCTTGGAAAAAAATTGACAACTTTTCTCATCTGAGGCAGCAGATTGTCCACAAGATCTTCATATAAAACAACAACTTTGTCTCCTTTAACGTGTGTGAAATATCTTTGAAGTCTGCGAAGCCACTCCGGTGCACTCTTTGAAATATACGCCGTGAAAACTACAAAGAAAAAACATACATTCTCAAAGCCAAAGTTATCTTAGAACACACACATGTTAGGTAGGCTATTGCCTACCTTCGGGTGTGAGTTTTTCATCATCCACTGTCCCAACATGACCAGAATATTTTCTGTGATAGTCCGCCAGTAACGCATGAAATGGATTTCGTAA